GAATAAGACTTTTGAAACAAGTATACAACCATTTCTATCTTTTGTTTCCCTTGGTGTTGTTTTGTTTGGATTGTGTCATCGTGCAAATAACGAAAACGCAACCCCACTAGCTTAAGCACATAGGTGTTTGTCCCTCAGCATAGTGTAGGGGTGGGTAGATGGTACACGGCGTGTGCAGTGGTCGTCGGCGGCGGGACCACCTCCTTCCTCGGCTTAGTTTAGCCGTGCTTGGGCATGTGGCTTTTGTCTTCATGTTTGCACAGTCGCTGATGTTCTCCAGGCATCGCATCTAACGGCTAGAGGAAGAAAAATCGGTGGTGGGATTTTTAAAAATTGAGGCAGTGTTGTCCTGGTAGGGGCGTTGCCCTACACCTGTGGCCAGAACTTGAAGGGAAGCTGGGAATGGAATGTTTTTAGCTGGGCACATTCTTCCTCAAACAGAACTGGGGCTCTGTTAGGAGAAAGCGGGGACTGGACACTGGTTGGCATGCAGTAAATAGTGAAAAATAGTAGCTAAGAGAGAGAAGGGAAGGAAAGAGAAGAGTTAGAAGGAGGCAGTGAAAGGCAAGGAATAGAGACGGGAGGAAGGAGGCTGTGGGAGGGAGGCAGGGGAGCACACACGTGGTCAGAAGTGTGAGGTTGGTGGGAAACCTGCCTCTCCCTGAGGGAAGGGCTTCATTCTGTCTTTGTCCCTCTGTGCTTCCACGGTGACAGAGTAGCGTTTTCGTGGAGAAGGATCAGCAAGGGCTTCCCGCACCGCCTGACCTTTCCGTTGCCTCTCTTCCAGGGAGACCACTGTAACTTCAGCCATGACATCGAGCTACCAAAGAAGCGCGAGCTGTGCAAGTTTTACATCACCGGGTTTTGTGCCAAAGCCGAGAACTGCCCCTACATGCACGATATCCTTTGGCTCCCACATCTGCTGTGGCTGAGGGGCGGAGCTCCTTGTCGGTAGCCACAGCTGACCACTGCGCTTCCTCTCGCCCTGCCAGTGCAGTGTCCAGCTTTCAGTGCATCTGCATCTCACTTAACCCGCACATCTGTCCTATGACGGGCCTGCTGTTCCCATTCTGCAGATGAGTAAACTGAGGCACACACGTTAATATGTTCTCTTTACATATACTCTTGGGACTGGCCTATGCCATTGCTTGTTATCTTTCTGAGACTTTCCAACTGGCTGTGTAACCT